GGGATTGCCAATAATAAAACCTAACAACTAGTTACATGTGTTTTCGCTCTAAAAATTAGAATCTGAATTTGTCCCTGGATTGGAACGTATTGCTAGGTTTATCTTACTACTTGATTTTGATTGCCTTCAGAGGGAAGCATATGCTTGTTCAAGGGAGGAAGACATGCGTACCTGTTGTTTTTGCAACTGCATTCGAGACGTTGATACAAGACCACTAGATCCTAATGACATATGTCAGCAATTTCAGATCATTCCTTATGCAACAGCTTGCAGAAGTGGTGGTACATTTCATGCTACATCAATTTTACCAGATGCTTTTCCTCCGTACTTCTTAAGAAGAAAAGGGCGGGAAATTTATACCAAAACACCCAAAAACTATGAACTAGGTGAAGCGCTAGGCATCAATACTGCCCTCCATTCCCACCTTCCAGCATTCGATTTCCCACTATCCTACAAGAGCTCAGAAGCCGTTGTTGTGGGAAAGTGGTATTGTCCTTTCATGTTTATCAAAGACGGAACACTGAGAGATCAGATGAAAATATCTATGTTTTAGAAGATGACACTTGAGCAGAGATGGGAGCAAATATTCACTTGTGAAAATGGTTACAATCAAGGGAACGTTGTGTCTGTGGATGTCACAGTCCAAAGAGAAATGGTCATTGTGGCGGGTAGAGAAGCGGTGTGGGATGAGAATAATGTGGCCAATGGGGTGATTTGGTTTACGAGCTTTGGTGGTGTAGGAGAAAAGGTGAATATTGGATTGAGCTCGCTAATCGTTGATCGTATGAAATGGGAGCAAGAGAGAGGAGGGTGGCTTGGCGGCGAAAAAAGGCTAGTGACGATGATAAAACAGAGGAGTATGCAGGGATTGGTGTTGGTGGGTGGAGTAGGTTTGGTTGCTATGTGCTGGTTGATAGGTTTGTGTTGAAAAGAATGGATGGAAGTGTGGTATTAACCTATGATTTCAAGCACACTCATGTGATTAGGAGCAAATGGGAATGAAAGAGTTTGGAATTCTTACAAACTTCCATTTATCTTTAAGATCTTATGTGTATATGATGTTGTTTGACTCTATGCTTGTATTTTATTTTAATTTTTTGAAAGGAGGAGAGGAATAAGAAAATTTGAACGGGCTTGTTTTGATTTATTTTTTGTGTATATAATATGACCTTGTTTGTATTGTTTGAATGCTTGTGTTGGATCATGGAATTCATTGTCTTTGTTTATCTTCTTGGTCAAAACTAATTTTTCTTGGAAGAATAAAGTAGTCTTTCCACTAATTTATTATCTTTTGAGAATAAAAAGAATAACGCTATATACACCAATTAGTATATTAACTAATATATTAATAGATAATGTGACACAATTTTAGAGGTTTTGGATATTTGTAATTTGTATAATAAGTGAGATCAGTAATAATGCCATAACACTAGTTGGTGCACTAATTAGGCCTCGTTTGGGAACCATATTTTTTTAGCCAAAAAGTCAAAAAGTTACTAAATTAGCCAAAAAGCCAACAACCCATACCAAAAAGTCAAAGATTCTTTTTTCTCTCTACTTTTTGCATACCTTTTCGTAAAAAGTCAAAAAGTCATTCAAAATATACTAGTTTTTTTTAGCTCATATTTTAGCCAAATAGTCAAAGAGTTACTAAATTAACCTGTTTCCAAACGAGGCCTTAGTATACTAATTAGTGTATATAGTACCACCGAAATAAAAATTTATACAGAAAAGCTTTTATTGAATATGTAACACCAACAACGTTAACCAATCCCAACATGCATTTAGGAATAGGAATCCCAAGTTTAATGGCCAAGAAGCGCTACACATTAACGTAGAGAAAATTATAACAAAAAAACTCTACATTTTATTTTTGTAATAAAATAAATCTTGATTTTTAATTTTATCAATTTAATTTCAAGATGATGAATGTGGACCAACACACTTTTCATGTGGACGATTTTGTTATTATATAATTTTAATAAATGCATCAATTAAATTGTCTTATGTGTGTTTATAACATTTGCTAGACAATTTGCTTCAATTGTTTAGGATTAGTTCATTGGTGATTTATTTTTATTTTTATTTTTTGTTTTTGTTGATTTTTTTAAAAAAAATTTTAAATTTCTAAAATGTACTTGACTTGACGAATCAAAAAAATTTAAAAAAAGTTTCAATAGGTGAAATTTTCTTTTTAGAAAAGTTATTATTTATTTATTTATTTTTGGTGTGTTCAGTTAACTATTTTTAGATTTTTTCAAAATTTTTAATTGTAGCCACATGAATTTATCTCTATCTTTAAATTAATTAAAGACAAATATAATTTTGAAAAAGAAAATTCTAAACATACAAAAAATTTATATAAAAAATTTGATAAGAATGATATGGTAATACCATTATTGTAAATAGATCTATCTTCAATGATTGTTTTGAAGTAAAAAGTTCACAATGAATAATGTCATTATGTATGAATTTTTTATTTATATTACATTACTCTTTTAAAAATAAGCTATTTACATTTTTAACATTAATATAATAAAGTCATATTGTGACCATTATCGAATTAATTTCATTTTTTACACAATAATTTAGATTAAAAAATGAAGGAAAAAACACAGCTCAGTGGTATTATAAAAAATTAATTACTTATTAATAAAAAAAATTATAATTTATAATTTTAATATTTATAATATTTATTATTAATTTGTAAATATTTTTTTAAACTTTATACTCAAATGTAAGTTTGCAAAACAAAGAGAAAATTAGTTTAAGGTCTCTCTTCTATTTTTAGTAGTAGGAGAGGTTCACAAAATTATTTTGTGATGTGTAAGGTCCATCACCGACCCCATATATCTCACCCACCCAAAATGAGTCAATTCCTAAAAAAGTACAAATCCAAATTCCAATTTCTTTTGATTTCAATTTAATTTGACTTTCTTTAATTTTAATGGCGATGGAAGACGGAGAAATTCATTCCTCCTAATTCCCTCTTGTTTGGTTTCCCTGAAAAAGATTACAAAATTAAAATAATTGGATTACCTTCTCGTGTTTGCGATTTCAATGCTTCAAATAAAATCATGCATGTTTATTTCAAATCGATTTGATCATAATCCTCTGTATCTTGGTGACGAGTTTGATTGGTGATATGTATATATGCATTGGATGTGAACGTGGAAAGGGCTGAAGATGTGCTCACGCACAAGAGACTACTTCATCTAGTGGAAGACCTTGTTGCTCGACCTGTATTTGAAGTTTGTCTTGTGTAGGTAATCAGAATTTGAATTTGTTTCATTGTCAATCTAGACCGCTTTTGCCGTAAATTCATTAAATGAAGGTCCTGGTATTTTCCTTCGTCAACAGAAACAAATCGTGTCATGTCGTGCCGTGGAATAGAGGTGATCAAAGTCAGAGAAATTTATAAATCAAGTCAAAAAAAAATTCAGTTTGAATTTAGAGAAATTTTAATTTTTCTAGATTTAATTTTCTCTGGATCAAATTTTTTCTAAATCGATACTGAAAGATCTTAGATATTATAAAAATATTAAATACTTTTTATATTATAAAATTTTAATATTAAGAACCTTAAAAAATAAAATCCCCAAAACAAATTATTAAAGGCGGGTGAATACCGGGTCAATGGGCCGAACTCGTACGTGTTGATCAGATTGTCCTCTCCTCAATTATAATAACAACCCATCAATATATTTTGAATTTTCAAATAATGTCTTTGTCCACCATCAATAATAATAATAATTGGATTTTCATAATTCATTTTTTGGAAAATTAATTTTTTTTTATATTTTTTTAATTTTAAATTTTTTTAATATTCTAAATAATTTTTTAATTTTTAGATATACCTAACATAAATACATTTAAAAATATAATATTTATAAAAAAAAAATCTTTAAAAAATTCGTTAAACAAACAAATATGATTATATATACAATTTTTTTAATTACACTTTTTAATTAACATGTGATTATAATTTTAACCCTTTTTTTGTTTGTCGCTCGGGCGTGCAATAGCAACCCACCCCATAAACAAACAAATCAATTTCATCTTTTGAGATTCCAAACCTCTCTCTCTTAAACAAATCATTTGCACCTTTTCAGATCCAAACCTCTGTCTGTCTGTCTGTCTCTCTCTCTCTCTCTCTCTCTCTCCAAACCCTAACCTTAGTCTTCTACATGTCCTTCGATCGGTCGGCACTATCTCCATTCTTTGACCGGCGAAGAGTGATGAGCGGCGGCAGCGGCAGCGGCAGCGGCAGCGAACGAGTTTAGTCTCAAATCCAAGTCTACAATCGATGTTGAGTTCGCAAGAAGAAGATTGAATGTCAATGGCAAAGTCATCAACGCTCGGATTTCGGACACTGCTGTTGGCCAAGAAAAGTAATTTTTAGTTTTAATTCCTGATATGGGTTGGTTTGATTAGGATTTAACTGGTATGAAGAGAGCTGAAGTGTAAAGAATATAAAAAAGTCACACTTTTTATTGGGGTTTATCTCGGAAAATGCCTTTCAAAGTACTTTCTCGGGAAAATCAGCAGGTCGCACTTTTTCACTACAGTATTCTGGTCTTGGACTTACTTGGTCAATCAGATACCAGCTCGCAAGTTTGACAGCGGTAACCAATTTGTAAGATCATAGAAGATGATTTGCTGGTGTTTTCATCTTTCTGTTTGATAATCTTGATGTGGTGATTTGATGAATTTTGCAGTTATAAAAGCAATAATAATCTCGGAAACCAGATACCTTATTAGCTTCCTCAAAATTGCACGCAACTGTATGCTTATTTCCTATTGATTTTTCCTTCTCTTCTATTTCAGTTCTTTAATTTCATTTATCAAAAAAATAAATAAATTTGCGCCCTTTAATTTTCTTATGGTGGTTTCATCAGCAATCCTCTTATAATGTAGAAACCTTGCTGGAAATGGCTTCACTGGTGGCATCCCTTATTCCATATCTCAGGTGACTTCCCTAAAATACCTGTTAGTCAAGCATCCGAAATTTGATTTTTATTGTTCATGGAAAAACTATTTAAAACTTCACACTTAACCACTGGTTGTTACATTGCATTACCAAACAAGGGAGGAGAGAAAACACAATCTTTTATTTCCTCTTGTAATTTAACAAATCATTTCTTTTAAGTGATGTGCATTTTTAGTAAGATTGGCTTCTTTGATTTGTTTCTTAATTTACTAGCATTTAAAAGATAGCTGTAGTAAGTATGCTTGCTTTTAATAGCTGTAGTAAGTAATCTGATTTCAGTCTTGGCATAAAGATGCTTGTGAGACCCTGAAAGATTAGAAATTCATTACTGTTGGTCTTAATGATTATCATAGTCTTGGTAATAAGTGTTTTGACTTCACTACTCTATCTTGTTGCAGAACTTTTGTGATGCCTTCTAGGATGTGTATTAATCCAATACATAATAATAAAGGGCTTTTTCATCAGTCAGACAATGCAAATTCAGAGGAAAGGTAAGCTTCATTTGGCTTCTATTGTAAAGAATCCTTGGTTGGTTACATCACAACAGAGGGAACAAAAGAAGAAGACAATAGTTGAACACTGGCTGTTGTTTTGTTTTCAATGAAATTGTTTGCATAACACTTGTAAATAATTTCCTTGCATTTCTTTTCCTTTTATTAAAAGCAACAACTTGAGGCTTATGGTTCAATGCATGGTACAAACACTGACACAGGATTGGTGTCTTGCATGCATATTAGGCACTTCCTAGTTTGCTTATGAATAAAATAAACCAGGACATGTGTGCTGCACTCACAAAATAAAATAAAATGAAATAAAAATAGTTGCCTCATTGTATTAGCAGTTGTAACTCTCTCGTGTTAAAAATTGAGTGGTATTTTCAGAGAAATAACTAGAGGTGTTGTCTAATGTATGCTGATATTTGTGTCATTTTATTTATTAGGTGGGCTGCTAGCTCCTGTGCCATGGATTCGTTGTATGATTTGGAGCTCATTTCCAACACTGTTCCTGTAGTTTTTGACAATTCTGAAACATGGCATCTGGCTCTATCAACAAGCTTGAAGTTGGGGAGTAGAGGGATGGCCCATGTACAAAAAATTACTCGTGTTGATCTCAAAGAGAAAAGTCAATATTCAAATATCTTGCTCATTAATCGAACTGCTAGCCCTCTTGCATGGTAAGCTCATTATTGCCATATAATATTTATTTTGCTTTGCTTAGTTCCACAACACCCCCATCCCCACAAAACTGGTGAAGGACAAATTGAAGAAATGTTTGCTCCATTGATTGTTCAAAGTCTCTGTAGTAGTTACCCTGTATTCTCACATTATAAGGGTTTGGAGGAGACCAGCCTAACTTCTTTATATATTAGTTATTGACTGAAAAATGATCAAGGCTGTGATAGGGTCTTATTCATTTACATAATTAAATTTTAAAAACCAATTTTAATTGAAATGAACAACAAAACCATTTTGAATTAGTTCAGATTTCATAAGTAGTAATTATATTGTTTATGTCATATGCCATGCAATATTATTGTTCAAATCTTTGAAAAAATCACACCTGTGTTGGTAGAGTTTTTCATGTTTTAATCATGATTATATTATTAATCTTGATAATTATTCAGGTTTATGGAGTGCAAAGATCGAAAAAACCACACTGCTACAATGTTGCCATATTCATTTCTTCCTTCAATGGCTGCCCAGAAACTACGACATGCAGCAGAAAAGGTTTACCATGTACAATCTTTTTAAGTTATGATTATCTACTCAGTTCAGGTGAAATAGCACATGATTTACCATGTATTGGCTATTTGCACTGTCTGCTAACAAATACTTGGTCCAGTTATCTTGTTAATATCTTTTGACTGCACATAAAGTTTCTCTTCAATTAATGCAAGAAAAAAGTAAACTCAAGGAAGCAGTAAAATTCTGATATTGGCATAATTTCATGGTGGGCCCTATTAGAACTATGCATAATCATTGTATTATTCTTGGTAGAGTCTTATATTATGATTATTTAGGTTAGGCATTGATCTGGTTTGTTTCATATTATCTAGTAGTGTTCTATAGGTCATCAGTATATTGCTAATTTCAGAAATTTCTGAAAATGGGTTGTAGTTGCTGCCTGTAGGTTATAATTTGGGTCAAGTTTTATATGGGTTGTTAAGTATGATTTTAGGTAAGTTTTGAATGAGTTTTAAATGCCAAAGTCTTTATTTTTTAAATTTTGGAGTCAGTCCTTTTGGAATTATGAGTTCTGTATAAAGGTATGTACTTCTTATTCAACAATGATGAGTTTAGAATTTTTTTTGAGAGCTTTTGAAGCTTGTTTGGGATGGTCTGTGCGATGCCTGCCTGCAGGAATCCATGTGTGTTGCCTACTCTAGTTGTCATCTTCATCATCATAATCATAATCATCATCATCATGATGCACTTTAACCGTTAAAACACGCTGAACCAGATCTGTTTCATCTTCCTTTTCCTACCATTAATTTTGTTTACAACACTAACATTTTTTCTTCAATTCTTCAACCCTAGCTTGCTTTAAGTACTTGGATTATTATTTTGTTAGTGGATTATACCAGTGGACTTGGTGGACAATTTCATATGATAAGAATTATTTATTTTTATGAATTTTGGCATTATGATAATTAAAGATTTAATTTGAGTATTTTGCATTGTTGGTTTATGTGGTTGGACTTTTAGTCTTGTATGCTCATTTAAATGAGTGTGCGACGTTGTCATGGAGCTTGAGGCGTGACAGTTAGGAAATGGAGACTGTTGGTTTATCAGGTGGTATGGACCTAATAGCCGTAATCAGAGCCTCAGGAAGAATTAGTCATGCACGGGGTCTCAATGTTCCTAGTTCGGGTATTGTTGGTGAGCAATTCATTGAGAAGATTCGTAGGGTAAGAGGTATGATTTAGATATTGGATCTGCATTTTTTTTGATTAATCTGTTTGAGGGAAATCTCGTTTCTTGCTATTTTAATATTTTAAAAAGACATCCTTTAGAAACAACCAAAAGAAAAAATGGAAAAAAGGGGCATGTAAAATTGATGGCATAGTTAATAGTTCATGTTGACCCTTCTGTTTCCCTTTTTTTATTTTTTATTTTTGCTTTTACTTTCCTTTACAAATTGTAAAGTTTACTCATGATGCAAACTGTAAGATCATCTATAAATAGTAAAATTAAAGCAGCGAGAATGTTTGGAAATTGGTTGGTTTCAAGATGGACACACTTGGAACTTTTCTTAATCACATTTTGGTATTGGTTGTCACTGTTTATGCTTATTTTTAAGTTAGTATGGATATAATTAGCTTTCGATATGAAAAATCAAGTATTATAGGTTAAGAGTATTTTGATTATTTCAAAATTTTCTTGACATGGAAGGTAAGGGCATCCATGGGTCATACATAGGTGAAGTTGTGTATTGGGTCATTCTATATTCTTTCTATCTGTTTTAGATGAGTTTTAAAAGTCAAAATTCTAGTCAAATTGAAAATATGTTTCAATTTATTGATGGATGATTTAGAAATGCTTCAGAAACCACAACAATAAACTGTAATGACAAATTAGTGTTGGTAATGAGGAAGACATGGTGGACTAAGGAAGGTGTGAAAAAATGTACGGTAGCATGGTGTTTTGTAGAGCAAGTATAGAGTGGATGAAAGGATAGGCCATCATGTCACTGGCGCATCAAATGCAGTAAACTGTTTTGAAGACCTTGAGACGTACTAAATGGGACAGGGGGTTGGTTTGCTCTGATGAATAAGGAGAAAGAAATACAAAGTGAGTTGTTTCAAATCTTAAACATGAATAAACTTGAATTTAAAAGATAAATTGTAGTTACAAAAATGGCTGCTCTGATGCTGGATCCTAGTCATATTAGATCTCAAAGAATGATACTCTAATTATCCATGGCCCCAAGGGAGCTGTGGGAAGAAAAATAACCCTCTTTTAACTGAGTACATTTAAATGAAGAAGTCGTAAGGACATGTTACACTGCAGGTGAAGTGGGCCAACATATGATGTACCAGGCTCATTAATCAAGCCTGCTACACTTGCAGGCTCTAAAAACTGCACTTATTTTAGTCTGGAAGATAAGATTGGTTCTTAGCCTATAGTGCAGCTAGCTGCACAGCTCAATAAGAATTGCCAAACTGCTATATGAAGCCCATCAAAAGCTGATTTGTGAGACATCAAAACTCATGTAGTGGCGACTGTCTGCACACCCTCAACCTCAAGAGTGCTGCCTTGAGCCTTCATTGATCTCCAAACTCACCTCACTATCCTCTCATTCCTGGCCTTCTTCAGTATCCTGAACTTGGTAGATTTCAAATATAAGAGCTTGAATAAGTTTGGTATTGTTAGAAATGGGAAAAAAAACTATATGTTTTTTAGTAAACAGATATAACATCCATTTTTACTTCGTAGACTATGCTTTAGTAATTTGTAGATTTTCATTTTTCAATTTTTTTACGACTTTAAATGTGTAGTATGATAGGGGTAATTCATGTATTTGTTGTTGGTTCTCAGGGTTGGAGGCTTCCAGATATGATGTTTGCAACCAAGTGTAGTTTATCTGATGCATGCAACACTATAGCCAAACAACTTGAGAATGTTTACTCATCAATTGCGGCAAGTTTTTCTTCTTACTTCTTTTACTACATATGTTTGATATTCATGAACCAGATCTGTTTCATCTTCCTTTTCCTACCATTAATTTTGTTTACAACACTAACATTTTTTCTTCAATTCTTCAACCCTAGCTTGCTTTAAGTACTTGGATTATTATTTTGTTAGTGGATTATACCAGTGGACTTGGTGGACAATTTCATATGATAAGAATTATTTATTTTTATGAATTTTGGCATTATGATAATTAAAGATTTAATTTGAGTATTTTGCATTGTTGGTTTATGTGGTTGGACTTTTAGTCTTGTATGCTCATTTAAATGAGTGTGCGACGTTGTCATGGAGCTTGAGGCGTGACAGTTAGGAAATGGAGACTGTTGGTTTATCAGGTGGTATGGACCTAATAGCCGTAATCAGAGCCTCAGGAAGAATTAGTCATGCACGGGGTCTCAATGTTCCTAGTTCGGGTATTGTTGGTGAGCAATTCATTGAGAAGATTCGTAGGGTAAGAGGTATGATTTAGATATTGGATCTGCATTTTTTTTGATTAATCTGTTTGAGGGAAATCTCGTTTCTTGCTATTTTAATATTTTAAAAAGACATCCTTTAGAAACAACCAAAAGAAAAAATGGAAAAAAGGGGCATGTAAAATTGATGGCATAGTTAATAGTTCATGTTGACCCTTCTGTTTCCCTTTTTTTATTTTTTATTTTTGCTTTTACTTTCCTTTACAATAGTCTCAAAACACAAAAGGACACAACAATATGAGACAATGCTTGTTTTGACAATAATACTACTTTCATTGACAGAGACCGTCAATTGATAATTTTATTCGAAACAATGCAACTTTTTTTCCATGAACATTGTCTTGATTATAATGAGATGACATTACTGAACTGGATAAGTATATGCCATAAAAGATCAAATTATGACAGCACATCCTAATGCCAGCGATATTCCTAAGAAGGGTTTTAGCACATACATTTACATTATTATAATTGGAAG